CTGGAGAGAGAGAATGCAGAGTGAGAGGAGAGAGATTTTGGGAGATGTTCTTAAGTGAAAGTATAGGGAGCTTTGAACCCAAGTGCAGAGAGTAATAGTGGTAGCGGACTTGAATGCTAAAGTAGGAGAAACTTCTAGAGAGGTGTGGTAGGCCAATAAGTTTGGGGGTGCAGGTGTAAATGATAAAGGGACAGCCCTTTGATTGAACTTAGTAAGAAAGGGGTTTATTTAAAGGTAATACTATTTTGAGAAAATGAGGTTAAATAAGTATACACGATATGCTGTGGCGAAATGACAGTAGTTGTTGGATTATGTATTGGTAGATCAAAGACTGTTGAGTAGACTCGGATATGTACATGTTTTATAGAGGGGCCCAAGATATATAGATCACTTTCTAGTTGTAGCTACACTGAGAGTAAAAGGTAGATGGGAGGATACAAGGAGAATAGAAGCATCAGGGATACGAGAGAGGTGAAGGTTTATAAACTAAAAGGGAGGCAGTTTGGGTAAGATTAAAAAGCTATTGGAGGATAGATGGGCTAATGAGAGCATAGACAATGGGGTCGAAGAGGTATGGTGGTAGGTTAAAATATGTAGGTGTTAGAGTGTTCAGCAGAAGTTTGTGGTAGACAGAAAGTAGGTGTGCAGGAGGGAAGAGGAAGCGATTGGTGGAATGATGATGAAAGCGAGTAGTAAGTGGAGGACAAAGTTCGCAGATGAGAAGTTTTTACAAAGTAGAAGTGAATGCAAGGAGGGAGAGTTATGGAGGAAAAAGAGAGAAGTTAAGGAGTGGTTGAAGCAATGTAAAAAGAGGGCAAATGAGGAGAGTGGGTGAGATGTTATCAACAAAATTTTGTTTGAAAATAAGAAAAAGGTTTTGGCGTGAGAATAACAGTTAAGAAGCCTAGAGAACAATGGCTTTGTAGTTAAAAATAGGAGAGAAGAGTTATTAATGGAGAGTTAGAGGTATGGGGAAGATGTGAAGGAATATTTTGAGGAATTGTTAATTGTTGATGAAGATAGGGAAGCTGTGGATTTCGTGTATAGGGCAAGGAGGAATAATCTTGTAGGCGTGAGGGAAGAGGCAGTTGTGAGTGTGGGGAAGTTGAGAGGGCAGTAGATAATGAAGGGGGTAAGGCAGCGGGTTGATGGGATAAAGATAGAAATGTTAAAGCCAGGTGGGGGATATAGTTTTGGAGTGGTTGGTGCAATTATTTTAATAAATGTTTGGAAGAGGGTAAGGTACCTAGGGATTGCGCAGAGAGCATGCATTAGTTCCTTTGTATAAAGGCAAAGGGGATAAAAGAGAGTGACAAAAATTATAGGGGGATAAGACTGTTGAGTGTACTGGTAAGAGTATGGTTAGATTATATGAAAGAATTAGAGTAAGACGGAGAAAAGGTTAAGCAGATAACAAGGAGGCTTTAGACAGGTTAGGGGGTGTTGTGGACCAGGTGTTTACAGTGAAAACTATAAAAGTGAACAGTTTTTAGATAAGGCTCTTAAAGAGGTCTTTGTTGGCATTTATGGAATGGAAAAGGCGATGACAGGGTGGCATAGAGGGGCAATGTGGCAGATGTTGCAGTGTATGGTGTAGGAGGTCGGTTACTGAAGCAGTGAAGGTTTATTACGAGGATAGTGCGGCTCAAGTTAGAGTATTAGGAAGAGGGACTTTTTTCCAGTAAAGTAGGCCTTAGACAAGGATGTGTGATGTCACCGAGGTTGATTTAATATATTTATAGATGGGGTTGTAAGAGAAGTATGCAGAGGGTCTTGGAGAGGCGTGGAGTTAAAAGATAAAGAATCACACACAAAGAGGGAGTTGTCACAGCTGCTCTTTGCTGTGACACTGTGCTCTTGGAGATTCTGAGAGAAGTTGCAGAGATTGGTGGGATGAATTTAGGTAGGGTGGTGCAAGAGAAGAAAAATAAAGGTGACTGAATAGAGGAAAGAGTAGGTTATGGGGATAACAAAAGATTAGGTGATGAAAGAATTGAATATCAGATTGGAGGGAGAGAGTATGAGGAGGTGAACGTATTTCAGTTATTTGGAGTGGACGATGTCGCGGATTGGGTCTAGAAAGATGAGGTGAAATCTAGAATTGATGAGGGAAAAAAAAAAAGAGTGAGAGTGGTGCACTTTGGAGTCTGTGGAGACAAGAAATTGTCCCTTGGAGCAAAGAGGGGAATGTATGAGAGTATAGTTTTACCAACGCTCTTATATGGGTGTGAAAGCGTCGGGTGTGAATGTTGCAGCGAGGAGAAGGCTGGAGGCAGTGGATGGAAGAAGTAAGTTCTGAGGGCTATGTGTGGTGTGAATATGATGCAGAGAATTCGTAGTTTGGAAAATTAGGAGGAGGTGCGGGATTACCAAAAAACGTTGTTCCAGAGGGGCTGAGGAAGGGTAGTTGAGGTGGTCGGGACATGTAGAGTGAATGGAAGCGAAAACAGCATGACTTCAAGAGTGTATCAGTTCTGTAGGTGGAAGGAAGGCGGGGTAGGGGACGGCTAGGAAGGGTTGGAGGGAGAGGGTAAAGGAGGTTTTGTTTGTGGGAGGGGCTGGTCTTCCAGCCAGGCATGCGTGTGAGCGTGTTTGATAGGAGTGGAATGGAAGACAAATGGTTTTTAATTACTTGACGTGCTGTTGGAGTGTGAGCAAAGTAAATTTATGAAGGGATTAAGGGAAACCGGGCAGGCCGGACTTGAGTCCTGGAGATGGGAAAGTCAGTGCCTGCATCTGAAGGAGGGGTGTTAATGTTGCAGTTTAAAAACTGTGTGTTAAAGCACCCTTCTGGCAAAACAGTGATGGAGTGGATGGATGTGAAAGTTTTTCTTTTTGGGCCACCTGCCTTGGTGGGAATCGGCCGGTGTGAAGATAAAAAAAAAAAAAAAAAAAAAAAAAAAAATATCCTTGAAGTCTGAATGCAAAACTTTCCGATGGTGACTCTAGCACAGTATAGATTTTTTCTCTAGTTTAAGAATTTACAGAAACTTGATATAATGGACTTAAATAATTGGCAAAATCGTGCTGTGTAAATTTACATTTCTATTCCCCCTTTAATTTCCAATTATTATTGCAATAAAACTAAATTGTCTCCATTACTAATTTTAGGTTATACAGAAGAGTACAGTGATTTTTGTTTTGTTTTGCTGTTTTATTACATTATTCCAATTTCAAACTGAACCTGGAGAATCATTCCAATGGTTTCTTGTTCGCAGGATGGTTTACTTGGCAACCATTTGTTCAAGTTAATTAATGTAGCTTGAAAAATCAAACTAAAGTTTTTCTCGGTCTTGTGAAACCTGAATAAGTGAGTCTATTTGTAGATGCCCTTCAGCAAATTGTTTGTACAGTTAAAATACAAATATATATTTGCAAATTTCAAGTGTTGGACTCTCTGGAGGTTTAGCCACTTAGTTTATCTTATTTATACAAGAGTTAGAGTGTAAGTGTGTCCAATGCACTTCAATATTTTGTTCATCATTAGGGAGGGAGAGTACACAATTTTGTAGTACCTAGGCTTCAAACCCTATTTATTGTACAGCAATAAAGGAATGGAACAGACTGCCTGTACATGTCGAAGCCAGTCATAGCATGAACCAGTTCAAGAAGAGCCAAAAGGTGCCTAATGAATGTAGCAACAAAGGGAGAATTATTTTTTTTTTTAGATAACGCACACATAAATAACTCATTTTACCTTATTACTAGTATATCTCCTTTATAATATAATATTAAAAAGGACCCCAATGGAAATAAGTCACTGACTTTTTTGGGTTATCCTAGGGTCTCTACACAATGCTTCTATGTAGTAACTGTTTATGTATACCTAAATAAACTTATTGTTTGGTCTGATTTCATATTATGAGTATTGTAAATAATTTTGTACTGTTTGTGTTTACTAAGAAAATATTTTTTACTTAAGCCACTTTAATAGCACGTAGTAGGCCTATAAACCATGCTAGGCAGGGACCTTTTCAAAGGCCAACTTCTATCATAAATGAATTAAAGTTGGATAAATTTAGAAAGGGTATAGGAAAACGCTGGGCAACAGAATTAATAAACTGCACTGCCAATTCATAACAGATTTGGTAGCTTTAAAAAGGTGGACAAAGATACGAGTCCTAACGTTTGGGTCCAAGGAACTGCCTAGCATAGGCATGTTCTCGAGTCCAACCATTTTCACTCGTGTTATCTAAGTAATTTATAAAACTGTTCAAAGCATTGCTTCAGTGATATATTTGGCAGACGACTGTTCCATTCAACAACTTTTTATGCTAAATTACTACTTTATTTCTAAATTTATTAAACTTTAAACTGTTGTCTTGAACTTGCTGGTTAGATATCCTCAGCATCTTATTTTCCCCAAAGATTATAGCATGATCCCTTTTCCTTAATATTAATATAGACTTGTGTACAATAATTTAAATAGCTATTTATTCAAACTGCAAACTGTCCCCTTTTACTTTACAGATTGTTTTTTCAAAGTATTAATTTTTAGGAGAGTAACCCAGTTGTTACTTGAGGAAATGACTTATGCTGACATTTATTAGGAAGTTTCTTTATTTCTATCTCTAATGTGAACATCAGAAACAAATTGAAGGCTTCCTTTTAAGCTAATTCATTGCTTACCGACATATATAAATCACTTGTGATATTATTAATTTCTTGTTTCTCCAAGATTTCAGCAAGTTGATTGACCTCTGCATTAACTTCAATTTCTTCAGATATGCTGAGTTCCCTCAATGCTTTGGCTTAGTTAATAGGCATGCGGAATTATGTTGCCCAATAAATTTATACAGAACCTCAAAAACCGCGATTGTTTCATCCTTTCCAACATTAACTTGGATATGTATATGGATGATGATACCTCTACCTACATATTGTGACCCCTGGTACCTTAAAATTTCCTCCTGGTCGCTTAGAGTTAGGATGGAACTTCCCTTCCTTGAATGTCTTCTGCACAGTGATTTCATTCAAAGTATATACGAGAGCCCGCCCACCGACAAGGATCACCTAATATGTTTACTCACAAGACAGGTACCAAAATAATAATAATTAGCTTCTTTCTAAAAGTTCTCCTTTGTATTTCCAATCCTAAATTATTTTTTAGAAGAAAAGCTCTTATATCAGACTTTTTTTTTTTTGTTCCAAGACTGTAGATTAAGGACTCCCAATCATCTTACATGCCTCCAACCCCACTGTAAGGCCTATAAAGAAGTATTGTACCTAGCACTGTATGGCCCTTGTGGTTTAGTGCTTACTTTTTTTTATTATAATATTAATGTACCTAGCACTCTTATGTGGTGACATGGCTGACAGCACTTGTTAAAATAACATATCTACTAGAACCACCCGTCCATGAAAGACCTCTTACTCAGTTTCTACTACTAGGGTCAACACATTTTCCTGTGGACACTGGAATACTAAATATATAGAAGGACCTATCCCTCAGATTGAGCAAGCATAAATGCATTGCCTGCTAAACCCACAAGAACAAAGAATGTTACCTGATGAACCAGTATAAGGCCTATATAGTGTTCACAGAACTTGAACTAAAAAGACGAGTGTCAAGAAGCTGCATTGATCACAATTTCTAATACTGAGCAAGAAACAGGATGCTGCATGATTTTTGACCAAATAACAAGGCCATCAGATGACTTTCCAATTGGCTTTATCTGATCCATCTTTACTTGTTTGGACCTTAGTAAACAAGATCCCAGGACTAAATGTTTGCACATGTCATTTCCTCAACTTGTCAGTATCATGCATTGTACATGGTCTATTGCATATTTCTTAAATGGCTGTCCTGATAACCAAACCACCTTTATCTATTCCTTACATAACTGTATGCTTTATATTTGCATTAATTATTGCAAAATTAATTTGTACTTTAATATCTTTATACATAAATGAAGATGATCATGAGAACTAAGTGATTAGAAAAAAAAGTCTGCTGAAAACTATTTACTGAACAGGACAAGCATTGAGTAAAACATTTTGCAACCTGTACATGTCAGTCCAATCACGTCGTTCACTGTTAAGAACAATATTGCGGATGCAGCCTTTGAAGTTTTCACGAGACATAAGGGTTCCCTGAAGGGCCGTGTCTGTCAAAAAAGGTAAATTTAAAGAATATTTATAATTGTGAATGGTTTCACTAAATGTATTCTAAATACTGTATATACATTTTTCACTTAGAAGAGTACTGCAGAACTATATACATATTTCCTTGTTAAGCTTATTTGTATCACTATCAGAAAAGTATAGATTTCAAAATGAGTGATAAAGAAGGGAAGAGAAAAAAAAAATGATCAGGGAGAGGACAGGAAGGATGAGTTTTCTTAGATGTACTACTCACAAATTTATCCATATCTCACTTATGAGTTCTGTGCATGGAGATTAATACCCAGATAGTATCTTATGAAATAATCAGAAAACATAAACTGCCCTTGTTCAAATCTCAACTATTATATTTGCCAAAAAAAAAAAAAAAATTGAAGTCCATTCCTTACTCAAGTAATACCTCATTTCACATAAAATGCAGCTACCTCAGTTACAGTTCTTAACTTAAAAAAAAAAAATATTTAACGCCCACCGAGGCAAGGTGGCTAGCTTTAAAGTTACTGAGATGCGTAGATAAGACATAGGTGCAAGATTTGTTTAGGGGAGGGCCTGTCCTATCCAAATCAAAGTGGAAACCTAGTAAGACTTAAAACATAATGGAAAGTGAGTCCAATTTAACCCCTAAACGTTCCAAACATACAGGTCTCTTTCAACTTTCACGGGCTTCACACATTCGCAAATTCCCAGCCGCCAAATCATATTTAAGTTTCCCGCCACCTGTGAGTCCCTACTACCCTCCCTCCGACCCCTGCAAGTGGCAGCCAGCCCTCCCACCACTCAGTGTGGTGAGTGTTTTGTTTGTTCATTATTTGCTATTAAACTACAGTATAAATAATGTAAACCCATTCATGACTGCATATTGGAATGGCTATTCGGACAGGTATTAGACGGTGACATCATGTGTTTACTCTTGAACACAGCAAAGAATTAAACATTTCTGCTACAGCTAATAATAACAATAATAATAAATATGATATAATTGAAGAAGGAAATTGTACAAAAATACGAGGGAGTGGTTGACACATCGTCAGTGTGACTTTGTTTATGCTGGAGTGAACATTAGTCTCCCTGCTCTTCCAAACATTTCACAATAATTCATTGTGTTTGGTGCTTGTAGATTGAGTGTGACTGGAGTGGTAGAGGCAGTGATTGAGGCAATGGTATTTAATAACATATATGTTATTAAATACCATTGCCTCTACCACTCCAGTCACACTCAATCTACAAGCACCAAACACAATGAATTATTGTGAAATGTTTGGAAGAGCAGGGAGACTAATGTTCACTCCAGCATAAACAAAGTCACACTGACGATGTGTCAACCACTCCCTCGTATTTTTGTACAATTTCCTTCTTCAATTATATCGTATTTATTGTTATTATTAGCAATAGCAGAAATGTTCGATGCTTTGCTGTGTTCAAGAGTAAACACATGATGTCACCGTCTAATACCTTTCCTAATAGCCATTCCAATATGCACTCATGAATGGGTTTACATTATTTATTCTGTAGTTTAATAGCAAATAATGAACAAACAAAACACTCACCACACTGAGTGGTGGGAGGGCTGGCTGCTAGTTGCGAGGTCGGAGGGAGGGTAGTAGGGACTCGCAGTGGTATTTAATAACATACGTTATTAAAGCATAACATGTATATATTTAGTACAATTTACGATGTTTTCATGTATTTTATGATTATTCATGGTTCAACAAGTTAAGGAAGCAGTATTGTAATATATTTCCCTACAATATATTGGGGCACCAAACATTCACGGTTTTTCAACATTCGCGAGGCTCTTGATCCCCTAACCCTCACGAATGTTGAGGGAGACCTGTATATATATGTTCTCTCGCCCAGTGCCCCAAATATTTTGATTTTTTTTTTCTTTGAAATAAAGAAAAATTTTCTAAGTGTTATAGGATTAAAATAAAAAAAAAATTAGGGTCAGTACTTACTGAGATATGAGGCTGCAAAGTTGGCACTTAATACTCACCTTATGGCAACATTGAGTCCTGCCTCTTGCAGAAGTGTTGCCAATACATGTATACTTTTTTTTTTTCTCATGTTCTGGTAATTACAATTTATTGTAGTTCTTGTCATTTCATAACCAATCTTTGTTCTGACACTAATATTAGGTACTCAAATGTCACAAACAGGTGGACATTTATACCTGCCTTGGTCATTTACTATTGTCTAGGAATATATACAAAGTATTTATAGGTCCAAGCAATGTTTTGGATACACGGGAGTATAGAAGAAAGAAGTTCCCTTGAAGCAATGTGTAAGACAAGTGTCAGTGACAAGCATGTGGAAGGGTGGTGACGAGATAAGGGATGACATTTGATGAGCTCGTCTGTCTCAGAGAGAGAGCCACTGTGAACCAACAGGTATCCTTATGCATTATATCTACAAGCATAGTACAGCACTTCGGATATTTTAGGTTATCCTAGGTAATTTACACTATGTATAATTGTATTTGTGTGTACCTGTGAGACATAGACAGACCCTAAACTTGGGGTTAACATCACTTTCCTCTTAAAAGGGGAGTGTTAATATGACATTACATCAGTAAATCCTTGTTTACTCTAACTGGCATTCCCACAAGGTACTAAGTGGTCCCAGATTTTTTTAATATGGTGCACACCAAGTGTTAAGATCCATTCTATGCTGACCAGGCCAATCGTGCCAAATTTGGAGGCAGAAAAAATAAAACGTATATACGTTTGGGGTGGTAAGACGTATATATAAGTTTAGAGGTAAAAAAAAAAAATTATTACAAGCATTATCTTTTTCTAAAACAAAATTTGGTACATTAGTAGTTTGCTGCTACTCTGTAGAATAAGCATGTGCTATTGTTAAGTCATGCCTACTAGTTCAGTAATGCATTTTATGTGAAGTGTTAATTGTCTTCATCAGACAATATAGGGCTCTGGTGGCCTGGTGGTTAACGCTCTCGCTTCACACGGTGAGGGCCTGGGTTCGATTCCCAGCCAGAGTAGAAACATTGGACGTGTTTCTTTCCACCTGTTGTCTATGTTCCCCATCAGTAAAATGGGTACCTGGGTGTTAGTCGACTGGTGTGGGTCGCATCCTGGGACACTGACCTAAGGAGGCCTGGTCACAGACCGGGCCGCGGGGGCGTTGACCCCCGGAACTCTCTCCAGATAAAACTCCAGATGGCTATGAAATTATTTTTTCTATAAATCACCTTGTTAAATATACATAGAATACAGAATAATCTGTGTACAGCTCTTGTATACAACAGATATTCTACAAGTGCTTCTTAGCTGTTATTAAAAATATAAAAGTATAGAAAAAAAGTAACTCAAACACTTATTTTAATAAACTTACCTGGTAATCCTCCAACATAGAATGGAGCACCAGTAAGTGTTCCTTTATCATTACCAGAACCATTAAAGCCATATGCTTCGCGGTAATCATCAACCCTTAAGGAAATAGAGTCTTTAATATAACTGGCTTTTACAGTGTGCCACATGTTATCACAGAAGCTGAATTTATTTCGAAGTCCCACTCTAGCACTAAAAGGATGGCCAGTACCCATGTCGACACTTAGCAATACCTGTAAAAAAAATTCCAGCAAGTACATTATGCCTCTCTCTATAGAGTAATAACATTCTGAAATGTTTTATTCATGCATATTAAGTAAACAAAGCCAGAGCCCCCAGCTACATCCGTAAAGACTTTTTTTTTTCAATTGCCACTAATAACTAGTGCTTTATTTTATTATAATCTCTAATGGTTATACAGTATACTTTACACATTTTAAAATTAGTGAATGGATTCAAGAGTGTAATAGATATTCCTTGCTTGTACAGGAGGGCCCTGCTTTATGGACATTTCGAATTATACCAAAAAATTCTTTTATGTGGCTTGTGCTTTGCTACTGTGGCATCTGCGCACCACCTGTCCACTTTGTTAACATCTTTCATGAGCTTCACATCTCCCGATTATGTCTGGAAAGTTTCAAGTGTTTAATTAAAGTTACTGCATATTTTATATATACATGTATACTCTTTCTGTGTTACAATAGCATTCAAGGGTAGTTGTGATGAAAGAGGAATTGTTAAGCTCTTACTTTAAGTTCAAGGTTAGAAATTATTAAACTCGGTGAGTAAGGTATGTCGATAGCTGAGAATTGTACTTGTGTGCAGATACATTAAAATCATCATTTTGCATTGTTGCAAGGGAGTAGCTAAGAATGTCTCACTCGTGTTGAAGATACAATAAGAATAATAATAACTAAAAGAAATATGCTACATACCATGTAAAACAAATTAACATAATTGCGAGATGTAGTAGCCGGGCGGGTGTAAAGGAGTTTACGGCAATAATTGCTATACGTAATGTGTTTTCTCTATTACATCACCAGAGAAACTGTGTATACATGTAGTATTATGGGCGGGGGGGTCTAACTTGTACACAATGTAAGGCGCTCGTGATGCTCTTCCCCTACCTTGAATTTAACAGGAGATTTCAATAACTACTTGTACAATTCCTAGTCTCCCATATCTAATTACTGTATATAGCCCATTTCAGCTCTACTACAAATTTAACTACAGTACTGTGTACGTCTGAATGACTTTTCTACAAGAGTAATTTTAAATTGTGAATAACTGTTTTCATTGTTACTTCTAAAAAATCTTTCTTAGGTACAAAACATTTTTTTTTATTAATTTAGCCCTAACAATAATAATCACAGATTTCATTCTTATCTGAGGACAGTACAGCACATTACGGTCAACTAAAATTTAGTAAGGATAATACTTACAGCTCCATTAACAAGTTCAACAGAAAGTGATGTTCCTTGAGGATCAGCAACACTAAGAATAATGCCATTTAACTCCCAAGTCCGGAATTCCAGTCTTAATTCCAACAAGGAACCAACATTAAAATCATCACCTGCAGTGGAAGAAGGTATGCAAAAGTAAAATCCAACATTTTATAAAAAATAATGTATATAGCTTGAGCAAATTTCTGTACATAATGCTTCTGCCAAATACAGGCACTCCTCACTTAACAACCCACATGTTTAACGACCGCTCGGACTTATGATCAGCTCTCTGACCAGTATTTAAACCTAAGTAATGTATGTTAGAGTTGATTTCCTCCTCCACACTCCAACAGATCGTCAGGTCCCAAATACCATTCGTCTCCATTCACTCCTATCGAACATGCTCATGCACGCCTGCTGGAAGTCCAAGCCCTTCACCCACAAAACCTCCTTTACCCCTTCTTTCCAACCTTTTCGAGAACGACCCCTTCCCCTACAGATTTAAATACTCTCCATGTCATTCTACTTTGATCCATTCTCTCTAAATGACCAAACTACCTCAACAACCCCTCTTCAGCCCTCTGACTAATACTTTTATTAACTCTACACCTTCTCCTAATTTCCACACTCCAAATTTTTTGCATAATATTTACACCACACATTGGCCTTAGACAGGACATCTCCACCGCCTCCTCTCTGCTGCATTCACAACCCAAGCTTCACACCCATATAAGTGTGTTGGTACTACTGTACTTTCATACATTCCCTTCTTTGCCTCCATAGATAACATTTTTTGTCTCCACATATACCTCAATGCACCAGTCACCTTTTTTTCCCTCATCAGTTCTATGATTAACCTCATCCTTCATAAATCCATCCGCCAACACGTCAACTCCCAAGTATCTGAAAACATTCACTTCAAATTCAAAAGTTTATTCTCTATAAGGATTACAATGCTGAGCTTACAGAATTTGGTTATTGTGTGGTTTACATGTAGTAAAATAATTACAGTGTACCACTAGAACACCTAGCATGGCTAGGCATTTCGGGCAGACTTAGATTAAATCTTAAGTTTAAAATATTACAAAATTATGAGGTAAGTTGGTATTATGGCTAAGCGACTAAATACTAGTTTGTGAGTTTAGCAATGTGAATGCTTTTGTTTTGGCACAATACATAGTTTCAGTATTGGAGTATCACAGGCCAACTTATGACTAGTTAAGATTCATTTTTTTAAGATTGAGATTGATATTTCTGTTTATGGTCAAATGGGTGAGTGAGTGTAAGTGTGAACCACCAGGTGGTATTCGTGTAATTAGTTGACAGGGTGTATCAGGGAGATAAGATGTTTTCTGATGGTAGTTTTGAAGGTGATGAATGTGTCTGCAGTTCTAGAGTTTTCAGGTAGGGTGTTCCAGATTTTAGGGCCTTTGACATACATTGATTTTTGTAAAGGTTTAGTTGTGACACGGGGAATGTCATAGAGAGTTTGTGTCTGGTGTTATGCCTGTGGGTTCTGTCACAACTATCAAGAAAGCATTTTAGGTCAAGGTTAATGTTGGAATTTAAGGTCCTGTAGATGTAGATTGCACAGTAATAAGTGTGGATGTACTGAACAGGGAGTAAGTTTAGATCTATGAAGAGTGGGGGGTGTGTTGCCAGGGATGGGATTTAGTGATTATTCTTACTGTGGCTTTTTGTTGGGTTATTATTGGCTTTAGGTGTGTTGCTGCAGTTGAACCCCAAGCACAGATAGCATAGGTGAGGTATGGATATATAAGTGAATGGTATAGGGTGAGAAGGGCTGTTTGCGGCACGTAGTTTCGTATCTTGGAGAGGATCCCAACCATTTTGGATACTTTTTTGGTTATGTGTTGGATATGGGTGCTGAAATTCAGGTTGTTGTCGAGGTATAAGCCTAGGAATTTGCCCTCATTATGTCTGGCAATTAGTGTGTTGTCGATCTTAATGTTAATTTGCGCATCTCCTGCTCTGCTACCAAACATGATGTAGTAGGTTTTGTCAGTGTTAAGCGTAAGTTTATTGGCTGTCATCCAGGTCGATATTTTGATCAGCTCCTCGTTAACAATGGTGTTGAGGGTGGCAAGATTAGGGTGAAAGATGACATAAGTCGTGTCGTCAGCAAAGAGAATGGGGTTCAGGTGTTGAGATACGTTTGGAAGATCATTGATGTATATGAGGAAGAGCAGGGGACCAAGGACATTTTCCTGTGGAACTCCAGTATCAAGTGGCCGTGTTGTTGATGCTGTGTCTTTAATGGTGACATACTGATACCTATTAGTAAGGTAAGATTTGAAATATGCAAGTGCATGGCCTCTTATACCATAATGGTCAAGTTTGTGAGTAGGATGCCGTTGTCTACTGTGTCAAAAGCTTTTCTTAGGTCAATAAAAATTCCTAGTGGATATTCCTTATTTTCCAATGCTGTGTAAAGCAGATCTAGCATTTTTATGATTGCATCGTTAGTGCTTTTATTTTTCCTGAATGCAAATTGGCAGGGGTTGAGTATGTTTTGTGCCATTATAAATGAATATAGTCTCCTGTGCACAAGTTTCTCAAAGATTTTGGATAGCAATGGTAAGTTTGATATTGGCCTATAGTTGTTTAAATCTGTAGGGTCACCACCTTTATGTATTGGTGTAACTCTTGCCGTCTTGAGTAGTTTCGGGAAGGTGCTAGTTTCTAGTGACTTGTTAAAAAGTAATGAGATAGCATGCGAGAGGACATGGGCCGCTCGCTTGTACAATAATGGTGGGACATGAGACATTCCGAGTTATTTTTAAGTGACTTTATAATCTCGGTGACTTCCGTGGGCTCAGTTGGTGCAAGATTTAGGAAATTCCCATCTAGGTAGTCCCTGGCATGGGCATTGGTACGTGGGATTTTATTGGCGAGATTAGATCCTATGGTTGAGAAGAAGTCGTTTATCTTGTTAGCTGTGTCAGTGGGATGCAGTGGTGTTTAGTTAGGACAATATTCTTGGTTTTTTCAGTTTGTGGTCCCTAGAATCTGAGAGAGTGTTTTCCAGGTCTATTTTATGTCTCCTCTTGTGTCAGTGAATCTACTGGAGTAGTATAGTTGTTTGGCTTTCTTTATTACTTTGGTGAGGACTGATGAATAGTGTTTAAGAATATCTTTGTGTATTAAGCCCTGTCTATATTGCTTTTCATATTGGTGTTTCTTATCAATGGATTTCAGAATGGTGCTGGTTAGCCATGGGCAACCAAGCCGTTTGTTTGTGATCTGTTTCGTTTTTGTAGGACAATGTTTGTTGTATAGTCTAAGTAATTTGTTAAGAAAAATGTCTGTCCAGTCATCAATACCATTGGCCTTGGAGAATTCTGTAGGCCAGTCAACAGTCTCTAGGTCAGCTGTGAACTTCCTTATTGAGGCCTCATCATGAAGTCTAAATGAAACTTTGTTGTATTCAAGTGGTGGTTTACTAATGTTTGTCAAGAGGAAGGTAGGGTAGTGGTCTGTAGTGCTATCTGTGATTATCCCTGATTTAAGGGGGGCTAGTATATTAGTCCATATGTGGTCTATTATGGTTGCACTTGTTTCAGTGAGCCTGGTTGGTTTAGTTATTGTTGGTATGAGAAGTGTGTTGTTCATATTGTTGATGAAATCAGTTACAGGCTGATCATCTAGTAGGCCAAGGTTGATGTTGAAGTCTCCAGCTAAGAGAAGGTGGTGCTTATTCATTTGTCTGTTTGTTATTAGTGCCTTTAATTTCTCACTGAAATTTGGGATGTTTGTGTGGGGTATCCGGTAAATGGCACCGATTGGTTAGAGTAATAGATTGCAATACCACTCCCAACTCCAATTTTTCTTTATCTAAATCACTTGATACCCTCCTCACCTTACTCTTTTCTATGTTCACTTCAACTTTCTACCTTTACACACACTCCCAAACTCATCCACTAACCTTTGTAATTTTTCTTTAGAATCTCCCATAAGCACAGTATCATCAGCAAAAAGCAACTGTGTCAATTCCCATTTTGTATTTGATTCCCCATAATTTAATCCCACCCCTCTCCCAAACACCCTAGCATTTACTTCTTTTACAACCCCATCTATAAACAACCATGGTGACATTACACATCCCTGTCTAAAGATGGCCGACACAAACCCACTACCAGTACAGTATGCTCCTCGTTTAATGACCTAGTCGCAGGAATGGAACTTGGTCGTTAAGCGAGGAGTGCCTGTATACAACAAAAAATAATCATGTATACATAAACATATGTTTCCTTCCTTCAGGACAAGAGCATATGCCCAAACATTATGCTCCTCTCACTTAGGACAAGGGCACATGACACTCTCCTTCAAAACAAGGGACACATACCCAAAAATATGCTCTCTTTATGACTAGGTAATGAGAGAGATGGACACAAGTACAAAGCAGAAATTTTATCTCCAATTTTATAAGCTTTATTTTTTAAAAATAATGACCTTTGTCATCTTATTAACCCTTTGACTGTTTCAGTCATATATATACGTCTTACGAGCCAATGTGTTTGACGTATATATACTCAAAAATTCTAGTGGCTTTAAATCAAGCAGGAGAAAGCTGGTAGACCCACATTTGAGAGAATGGGTCTGTGTGCACCATATAAAAAAAACCTGCAGCATGCAGTGCATGAGAAAAAAAAAAACTTTTTGGATTAAAACGCCGACTTAGAGGTGTATTTTCGTATAGTTTTTATGGTTATATTCTCGTTTTTGTACTCACACTTGATAGAATGGAAAACATATTATAGAAATAGAGGTGATTTTGTTTGGTTTTACTATGAAAAGGACCTTGAAATAGAGCTCAAAGTAGGGGAAATGTTTGATTTTTGCCGATGTTCAAGAGTAAACAAATGTCCAACTAGTCATTCTAATATGTAGTCATGAATGGGTTGATATTATTTACACAATTACAATATTGCCATAGTCTGCATAACAGTAAATCTTCTATTTTTTGTTTGAATAAAAATTCAAAATAGAAAGCAAGAGTAATATCAGAGGGGCCTGGAGACATGACTGATGAACAAAGAAAATGTCATTTCAGAGCCAGGCATGTCTGCATTGTTCATTCTGAATCCTATTTTGAAATTGGCCAAATTGCCAATGTCTGACCACTTTATTGAGTAGTTGAAATCGGTAAATGGGCAGTTTCTTGTACTCAATCGATAGAACAAATGAAATTCTAAAGAAATAGTTGAGTTTGGTCGACTGGAACAATGGAATTAGCCGAAAATAGGGCTCAAAATGGGCGAAATCGCCGAGGTCACTAACTTCACGAGAGCGTAATTCCATAAGTTTTCCATCAAATTTTGTACTTTTGGTGTCCTTACCATCGGGAAAATATTCTCTATCATTTCATAAGAAAATGATAATTTTATTTTTTCAAATATTTTGCGATACCAGGAAACACCTCAGGATTTGGGGTTGCGACAGTCAAAGGGTTAATTTAATTAAAATACACTACACACACACAAAATTGTTATACTGTTCTTTAAGGTTGTGATCAAAATTTTTAGTAGGACTTACTATAGATTGCATAAGCATCTCCTGGGAAATATGAACCAGGTTGTACACTGGCAAAGCACTGGCCAACACCAACAATGTGATCTCGTCTCCTATTGTTCGGTATTTCAAAATCTTCTCCATTAATTTTTAAGTTTCGTAAACAGCCACGTAGAGTTTCAGTTTCCTGAAATAATGATGCACTATTACTGAAAAATAATAGCACAGGCAAAGTACATCTGCAAATCCCAGTGGGATAAATAATCAATTATCAAGTTAATATTTTTAAATTGCAAAATTGCCATTATATGAAATGAGATGTTTGCAAATGGGGGATTTGTCTGTACAACTGAATGGACATTCAGATATCCTGTACTGAAAATACTAATGAATTATGAGCCAATTTAATTTGTACAGCTGCAAGGCACAAATAAAATATTTATAATAAAATAAATTGAATACTACAATTGAATTAAAGAAAGAATAATTAAAAAAATCTAAATACCTGCATAGTATCTGGAATGACAATATTTGCTGGCAGACTTCCCAAGAATAATGCCCGGCCAACATTCATCTTGCGAGGAGCTTTAACCTTCTTCACCAACTGATTATCTATGAAAAGATGAAGACGCTTCCTAACTTTCTCAATCATAACCTGAAAAAATTAGGAATAAATATATATCACTAAATTTTGAACCTCAGTTGTATTACAGTGTACAATATGTATATCACACTCACCTAAAACTGACAAGAGGAATATAGGAATATTTGCATACCAACTGCAGTACCATATAGAAGTAGAAAAATGATCAAATTGTAACATTAAAATGTACTTGATAATTTTTAGGAAATGAAACATTAAAAAAAAATGACTTACCTTTCTCCACTGTCCAGTATTAAGCCCTGGAGGGGAAATTGCCTCTGTATCCTTTGGGCCTTTTTTATTGTGCTTCCTCAGCGAGACAATTACTCTTCCATTACGAAGCTGGGCTGATATTGTTTGCGTTTTTTTCTTTCTTATATTCTGTAAGTGTTTGATTAAATAATTAATACTCAAGTTTATTCATGCCATTCTTAATCATTAAAGTGTGCCCAATGGACTAGTACACAGGTGTACTATTAAGCACAATTTTTTGTGCCTTCATGTATGCCACCTGCCACTATTTTTCACTTCAGCTCAACATTTGAGTGTCCTACAATGCCCTTGTACCCTTAAAAAAATCTAAGACGAAGTTGGTCCACACAGTGCATCATGAGTAACACTGCCTAACTATCATAAGTACACGGTGAAACCCAGAACCTGTTGTGCACTCGCCAGCTTTCCTACCAGCTCTTGATCCAAAGTATTGGACTTGTCCTTCCCTTCCTTGAACCAATCCTGCTAATACCTATCTCCCAAGTGCTGTATGATCCCTACAGATAGCATTTCATCCTAAATATATTATTAATATTTATACTGATAATGATTCAGAAACTGTTATAGAGGGCATAGTAGGTAAGTTTAGGGTGTCAGGAGTAAATGATAATGGGGGACATCTAATTGAAGGAGGGGTGTTAATGTTGCAGTTTAAAAACTGTAGTGTAAAGCACCCTTCTGGCAAGACAGTGATGGAGTGAATGATGGTGAAGTTTTTCTTTTTCGGGCCACCCTGCCTTGGTGGGAATCAGCCAGTGTGTTAATAAAAAAATCTAATTGAACTTTGCATAGGAGGTCTGGTAATAGGTAATACATATTTTAAGAAAAAGAGGACAGGTAAATATGCGAGATACAGTACGTCAGACTTTGTATTAAGAGACAAAAGATTGATGGGTAGACTTCTAGATGTTTGATTTTAGAGGGACAACAGATATCTGATTATTATTTAGTTGTAGGTTATCAACATATACCAACCTTTTAGAGTTTTATGACAAATCATGCTAAGAAATGTAACTCAGAAGAAAGATGGACTGCATTTTCTGAGACTGTAAGAAGGCATTAGACATTGTACCCACGAGAGGCTGGGGCAATAATCCGAGATGCAAGCATTAATAATAGGGAACATACTTTAGTGGATTAAAAAAGTACCTTAGGGGAAAGCAACAATTTGACTATCAGGTAAGAGACATCAGAGTGGGGACGAGTAACTAGCAAGGTTCTACAAGTATAGACATTAGGACCGGTAATGTTTCTAGTTTATGTGGATGAAATTCCAGATGGGACTGAATCAGATGTATTCCTGTTTGCTGGTGACATAAAACTAACAGGAATAAAAAAAAGATGAACAGGGAAAGGCTCCAGGTAGGTCTGGACAAACTGCAAAAATGGTCAGATAAGTGGTTGCTTAAATTCTATCCAAGAAAATCAGATGTGAGTCAAGACCTAGAAACAGACCTAGTGACTGGTGTATCACTAAAGGCTCAAAATGGCTGAATAACCTCTGCAGCCAATGCTCATCTGGCAGATCTTAAGAGTAGCCTTCAGGAGTCCCAACAAAGTCAAAGTCATTCTCTGTTCAACATACATCAGGTCCATCTTGGAGAATGCAGCACCAGTAAGAAACTGGAAAAGGTGCAGAGGTATGCAATGAGGCTTGTTCTAGAACTATAAGGAGACTAAGAGAGTCAAATCTAATGACAGTGGAGGACAGAAGAATCAGAAAAGATATAACAGGTAAAATGCTCAGGGGAATTGATAGGGTAGACAGGGACAGGCTGTTTGAGAGTCAAGACACAGGTACTGGGAGACACAGCTGGAAGTTACACACAGATGAGCCACAGGGATGTCAAGAAGTATGTCTTCAGTCTCTGTAGTGGTTAGGAAGTGGAATGATCTTGATGAGGAAGTGGCAGAGGCAGGCTCTATACAGTTCTAAGAGTAGGTGTGATAGGGCCCATGAAGCTAGGAGGGAGTGAATCTGACAAGTTGAGAGGTGGGGCCAGGAGCTGAGACTTGATTCCTACAACTACATATTATAAGCGAGTACACAAAATATAATGCAAAACTCACCGAGCCAATGAAAAATAGTCCATTTGGATAATATGTCCGAAATTCAAAAGAAATGTTGAAGTTCTTTTTAAAGGTCCTGGGATTCATAGGTACCATCACATATGACTCAAGCTGATCTCCAAATTTAAGTGCTTTGTACTCCACTGTATGCTGGGTTGGGGGTTGGCATGAGTCTATCTCCTGAAACAAAATGTAAGATTAAGTTTGACTACAATATATGATTGCTAATTTTTGTTAAACATATTTAATTTTGGTTAGGGAAATAATAATTACCATTTCTTACAGAGAAAATGCTTCCAAACAATATATTATTACATTATGTATATGGGCAAGATTACAATTATTCATGGTACTGTCTGAAAACACTGTCATTTGTTATTTCTTTAACTTGCCAAACCTGCACAAATTGAAACCAGCTGGTGCAATCTGTTTTCTACACTTTCTTCCTCTATTTATTATAATACAGTATCCAAAACTGCATTCTCAAAGTCTTATCTCAGTCATTTATTTGACACTGCACATATCTCTAGCATTTCAATGCATTTTTATTTTTAATATAATTTTTTTTAACACTGGTCATCTCCCAAAAAAGAAGAAATGAAAGTTTTTCTTTTTTACATTTAGTAATTTATACAGGAAAAGGGATTACTAGTCCCTTGCTCCCAGCATTTTAGGAGTGTTTTAAGATACTCTTTTTAATACAGTGGAACCTCGAATTTCATCATCCCTTTTCTGTATGTATAACTATATATATATATTCTTTTAACAAGTCGGCCGTCTCCCACTGAGGCAGGGTGACCCAAAAAGAAAATACTTTGATCATCATTCAACACTTTCACCTCACTCACACAATCACTGTTTTTGCAGAGGTGCTCAAAACACAACAGTTTAGAAGCATATACATATAAAGATACACAACATATCCCTCTAAACTGCTATAGTTATTCTCTATAAATGTATTTTTTTGTTAATATTTTTGGGTGTCTCGAATGGATTAATTGGATTTACATTGTCTTATGGGAAATATTAACAAAAAATACATTTTATAGAGAACTATAGTTTTACATACAGAAAAGGGATGATGAAATTCGAGGGTCCACGTATATCCTTTTCATATCATGTACTCTACACAAATTTATCTTTATGATTGTGAAATCTTATTTTATATGAAGACTGTATATTTTGCCCTTGCACCAAAGCCCTCGTCAGTGAACTGGTGAGGTTATTTCATTGCATCCCAGGCTTTAAAGCATCATATATGTACTTTACAATTAGATAAACTTGTTTGGACTAAAACTTCTTATTTTTCTATAGCAACCCATACCTTGCCTGTGAGGTGAATTTCTGAGTTGTAAACCCCTAGCTGAAACTGTGCAAAGCCAACACATTACTTCAGAAGATGCAAATGTATTCAGTGTCCAATACTTTTTCTGTAATGTGGTGGTGGTTTAGATGTATGACTTAGCCTAGTGTTACTAGATGGGAGTCTGCCTTCTGGGCAAAGTGTAAATTGATTTATAAAGAATATTCCTTTCTTGTTATAGAATGATATACTGTATGTCTATAGAGTAAGTAATTAGACATACCTTCATATCTCCTTCCATGCCTTGCATCGCAGTGGGTGGAAGATCAGCACAACGACCAATGTACACATCTTTGAATTTCACTGGCCGTGAAAATGACACTACCCTGGAAATGCAAAATTTATGAATAATCCTTGAAAATATAATAGAATAAATAATCAATAGTCTTGTTTACTGCCACTTTTGTACTCTTCCTATTTGTACTACATTTTTCCACACCTATTCATCTAGTCTTTTAACTTAATATTTTCTCATACACTTTCTTCCCTACTTCATGATCATTCCTTCATCATGACTGCTATATACCAATTTAGCATGACTCATGAAATTGTAATAGCACGATTGCAAACAAATTACAGAATGGGTGGAACTCTAACCCATAGCAGGTGAGTCCAAGGATATTTATTCCTTATTCTTTACTTGGAATATTAATCTTTAACCCTTTGACTGTTTAGGTCGTACGTATATATACGTATTAGGAGCCAATGTGTTTGACGTATATATACTCAAAAATTCTAGCGGCTTCAAATCAAGCGGGAGAAAGCTGGTAGGCCCACATGTGAGAGAATGGGTCTGTGTGCACCATATAAAAAAAACTGCAGCACGCAGTGCATATTGAGAAAAAAACTTCGACCATGTTTTTGGATTAAAACGCCGACTTACAGGTGTATTTTCATATAGTTTTTATGGTTATATTCTCATTTTTGTAGTCACATTTGATGGAATGGAAAACATATTATAGAAACAGAGGTGATTTTGATTGGTTTTACTATGAAAAGGACCTTGAAATGGAGGTCAAAGTAGGGGAAATGTTTGATTTTTGCCAATGTTCAAGAGTAAACAAATGATGTCATTGTCCAACTAATATGCAGTCATGAATGGGTTCACATTATTTATACAATTATTACAATATTACAATAGTCTGCATAACAGTAAATCTTCTATTTTTTGTTTGAATAAAAATTCAAAGAGTAATATCAGAGGGGCCTGGAGACATGACTGATGAACAAAGAAAATGTTATTTTAGAGCCAGGAATGTCTGCATTGTTCATTCTGGACCCTATTTTTGAAACTGGCATATTTTTTTAATTTGCGTGAAATTGGCCAAATTGCCAATTTCTGACCACTTTATTGGGTAGTTGAAATCGGTAAATGGGCAGTTTCTTGTACTCGATCGATAGAACAAATGGAGTTCTAAAGAAATAGTTATGAGTTTAGTCGACTGGAACAATGGAATTAGCCGAAAGTAGGGCTCAAATTGGGCAAAATCACCGATTCGTAAATATCGCAGAGGTCGCTAACTTCGTGAGAGTGTAATTCCATAAGTTTTCCATCAAATTTCGTATTTTTGGTGTCATTACCATTGGGAAAAGATTCTCTATCATCTCAAAAGAAAATTTTTTGTCTTTTTTCAAATATTATGCAACATCAGGATTTGGGGTTGCGACAGTCAAAGGGTTAATTAATTGAATAATGATGATTAATGATCATGATATTGATGACATAATAAAACCTACAATAAATAATAGTAAACCTTTAATTTAACCAACTAATGAGGGAAGTGGGTGGCTGGTCACAATAATTGTGGTGGACAGAAATGAAATTGCTTTGCTGTGATCATAATAATGGACAATTCTGTAACCAACGGACTATTTTTTTTTCCAATGAACTGGCCATATCCCGCTGAGGCAGGGTGACCTAAAAAGAAAAATTAAAGTTTCTCTTTTAACTCATTAACTGTCCAAACGTAGATCTACGTTTGCTTGCCCAGCGCTCCAAATATTTTGAAAAAAAAAAAAAAATTAAAGAGGGCAATTTTCTGTGTGTAATACAAAAAAAAAAATTTTTTTTTTTAAGAACAAGTAGTTACCGAGATTATAAGACCACGAAGTTGGCACCGGATGCTCACCTGATGGCAACATGGAGTCCTGCCGCTTGCAGAAGTGTTGCCAATATACTACCTTTATTTCTCATTTTTATATAATTTTTATGTTCTGATAATTACATAACCAATCTTTGTTCTGACACTAAGATTAGATACTGAAATTGTACTCAAATTGTCGCAAACACACTGACAGGTTAACATTTACACCTGTCTTGGTTATTCACTATTGTCTAGGAATATACACAAAGTATTTATAGGTCCCAGCAATGTTTTAGACATGCTGGAGTATATATGGAATTCCTTGAAACATGGTGTTAAGACGAGTGTTACTAAACTGCTGACAGGGTAAGCAGTGGAGTGACACTTTGATGATCGTGCACTGCTGTATGGAACCCTGGCTTTATTTGTTTACACTGTTACACAAACATGTTTGTCTAGGTATGTCTGCTTGTCTCTCTTGTTTCAGAGAGTTGCTCATGAACCAACTGGTATTACACACGATCACGTCTCAATCCTGAACAAGTGAAAATGCGTATTATTTGCCAGTCATGCTTATTATACATTATATTATCTACAAGCACAGTATAACACTGTCTGGATTTTTTGGATTATCCTAGGTAATTTACACTGTATAATTGTATTTACATATGTGTACCTGTGAGATAGACAGGGCCTGCCGAACACACATTACCCGTTATAGGACATTCTGGCAGGATGACACTACCAGTGGTACCAAGATTGAAAGGATGTTGCACATGGGTTGTTATCAAGGTTTTTGATATTTCTGCAACCACTTGTGGCCACATCCACCTCAAAGCCACAAACTCTGGAACAACGTCGCTTTCCTCTTAAAAGGGAAGTGTTAATATACATGACATCAGTGAATCCTTTGTGTTTGCTTTAGCTGGCACTCAGTTGAACTGGTGATCCCACAAGGTACTAAGTACTCCCAGATTTTTTTTAATACTGTGCACACTGAGTGTTAAGACCCATTCTATGCTGACCAAGCATCTCAGGCCAATTATGCCAAATTTGGAGGCAGGAAAAATAAAACATAGATCTACGTTTGGACAGATAAAGAGTTAAATTTAGTAATGTATACAAAAGGGGTTATTAGTCTCTTTCTCCCGGCATTTTAGTTGCCTCTTATGACACGCATGGCTAATGGAGGAAGAATTCTTTTCTACTTCCCCATGGAGACTAATGTACTTTACAGTTTACAAATCAACTGACCAAGCAGGTCTTGTCCTGTATTTCTGAAGTTTGTTAAACTGAGAGTTACTATATTTGATTTATGGGAGTGGGAACAGTAATATAAAACATTGAGATTGAAAAATGCAGGGCACCATATACTGTAGCACTATCTTATTATTATCATTGCCTAATTGGCTTTGTCACTTTATTCATTAAAGTTGTTCTATAACAACTTTGAATTAAGCTACAGGCACCTTATGCAGTGCTTTAAGACCCTTTTGGGTTTAGCACTTAATTTGATTATATTATTATTACAAGCACCTTAATCCATATTCTGATTAGTTACTCAATACCTCATCATTTTTTTTCCCTATATTTCACTTAGACCTGCATTTAATAAAATATATTTATACAATGCTTGCCTGTTATTAACAATCACATCACGGATACAGCCTTTTAATGCTCTGGAAGACCCAACCATGGTTACAGCATCAATTCCTTCAGGAACTCCACCAAAATAGAGCCCTCCCGTATCTGGTCCGGACACAACTTGACTTCCTCGGTCCAATCTTGTTCCATTAACTTCTCTATCATCCACCTTCAGGGTGACTCTGGGTGAAAAATTAAACAGCAGTGCCAGAAGAACATAGAATAAACTTATTGTACTTATTAAACATATACTATGGGATGATTAATTAATAAGTGTCACATACACCAGTTAACATTTCTCTCTCTCTCTCCCTATAGAAATACAGAAATAATCTAGAGTATGTATTCATTTCCTTATGATATATTACTGGGAGAGACCATCTTATCTAGAACATCAATCCCAGCCTAGCATTTGTTACTGTTGTCACTGCATTTTGGCTACTGATGTAAATACATATACAGGTCTCCCTCAACAGTCACGTTTTCAACTTTCGCGGGCTTCACACATTCGCGAATTACCAACTGCCAAATTCCCAGCTGCCAAATCATATTTAAGTTTCCTGCCACCTGCAAGTCCCTACTACCCTCCCTCCAACCCCCCCAACTGGCAGCCAGCCCTCCCACCAGTGTGGTGAGTGTTTTGTTTGTTCATTATTTGCTATTAAACTACAGTATAAATAATGTAAACCCATTCATGATTGCATATTGGAATGACTATTCAGACAGGTATTGGATGGTGACATCATGTGTTGACTCTTGAACACAGCAAAGAATCAAACATTTCTGCTACTGCTAATAATAACAATAGTAATAATAATAATAAATACGATAGAATTGAAGAAGGAAATTGTACAAAAATACGAAGGAGTGGTTGACACATCGTCAGTGTGGCTTTGTTTATGCTGGAGCGAGCATTAGTCTCTGTGCTTTTCCAAACATTTCACAATAATTCATTGTGTTTGGTGCTTGTAGATTGAGTGCGACTGGAGTGGTAGAGGCAGTGGTTGGGGAAGCGGTTGAGGCAGTGGGTGAGGCAGCAGTTGAGGCAGTGGTATTTAATAACATACATGTTATTAATAATAATACATGTTATTAGTAATATGTATTATTATTATTTATAACATGTTATTAAATACCACTGCCTCAACTGCTGCCTCTACCAGTGCTTCAACTGCTGCCTCACCCACTACCTCAACCACTGCCTCAACCACTGCCTCAACTGCTGACTCAACCATTGCCTCACCCACTGCCTCAACCGCTTCCCCAACCACTGCCTCTACCACTCCAGTCGCACTCAATCTACAAGCACCAAACACAATGAATTATTGTGAAATGTTTGGAAGAGCACGGAGACTAATGCTCACTCCAGCATAAACAAAGCCACACTGACTATGTGCCCCCGGAACTCACTCCAGGTAAACCACTCCTTCGTATTTTTGTACAATTTCCTTCTTCAATTCTATCGTATTTATTATTATTAGTAGTATTATTACTACTACTACTATTGTTATTATTAGCAGTAGCAGAAATGTTTGATTCTTTGCTGTGTTCAAGAGTAAACACATGATGTCACTGTCCAATACCTGTCCAAATAGTCATTCCAATATGCAGTCATGAATGGGTTTACATTATTTATACTGTAGTTTAATAGCAAATAATGAACAAACAAAACACTCACCACACTGGTGGGAGGGCTGGCTGCTAGTTTGGGGGGGTTGGAGGGAGGGTAGTAGGAACTTGCAGTGGAGGCAGTGGTATTTAATAACATACATGTAAAAGAGGTTTTGTGGGCGAGGGGCTTGGACTTCCAGCAAGCGTGCGTGAGCGTGTTAGATAGGAGTGAATGGAGACGAATGGTACTTGGGACCTGACGATCTGTTGGAGTGTGAGCAGGGTAATATTTAGTGAAGGGATTCAGGGAAACCGGTTATTTTCATATAGTCGGACTTGAGTCCTGGAAATGGGAAGTACAATGCCTGCACTTTAAAGGAGGGGTTTGGGATATTGGCAGTTTGGAGGGATATGTTGTGTATTTTTATATGTGTATGCTTCTAGACTGTTGTATTCTGAGCACCTCTGCAAAAACAGTGATAATGTGCGAGTGTGGTGAAAGTGTTGAATGATGATGAAAGTATTTTCTTTTGGGGATTTTCTTTCTTTTTTGGGTCACCCTGCCTCGGTGGGAGACGGCCGACTTGTTGAAAAAAAAAAAAAACATGTTATTAAACCATAACATGTATGTATTTAGTACAATTTATGACGTTTTCATGTATTTTATGATTGTTCATGGTTCAACAAGTTAAGGAAGAAGTATTGTATTATATTTCCCTACAATATATTGGGGCACCAAACATTCACGATTTTTCAACATTCACGAGGCTCTTGATCCCCTAACCCTCGCATATGTTGTGGGGGACCTGTACTGTGTTAGTGAATTTTCAAGATGGAAGTAACCAATAAAATTAATACTTAACACTAGTTAATTGTAAGGACTGGCAATAGATTAGTCTCCACATTAATATGGATTGTAGATATGCTCACATGAGTGAAGGTAAGTCACTTTACTGTAAGATCCATGATAGCCCACTCTGAGTATGGCGTGAGAAGTAACACAGATAGATCAATGATCTACACATACACACCATCTCTTCTCCAATCCACATAAATGCGGTGACAAATCTGTTGCTAATCCTTACAATTAAGGGGCATTAAATATTGTATCAGTATAGTCACACAATTTTATTGTTTCTTCCAGCTGAAGTGTCCAATGATACCATGGTGTTGCCGTGTCAAACAAGTACAGTGGACCCCCGGTTAACGATATTTTTTCACTCCAGAAGTATGTTCAGGTGCCAGTACTGACCGAATTTATTCCCATAAGGAATATTGTGAAGTAGATTAGTCCATTTCAGACCCCCAAACATACACGTACAAACGCACTTACATAAATACACTTACATAATTGGTCGCATTCGGAGGTAATCGTTATGCGGGGGTCCACTGTATATTACTGATGGTATGCAATACTAACAAGTTGATGAATGATATATCTGCAACACTTAAGCATCTTTATTGCTGAAATGTTTCACCTGCACAACTGGCCTCCTCAACTACAGGTGAAATTAAAGTGGAAAAGGTAGAAGTCATTTTGAGGAGGTCAGTCCCTAAAGTATAGGCATGTAGCCAGATCTTATGTACTGGAGCAGAAGTGAGGTGTAGGAGCTGGTGATATCAGAGGAGTGGCACCCACTAGTGGAAGTGGGTCATGCTAAACAGTTATTTAGTAAATGAGTTATGTGGCATCATCTCCAGCTTCTACATCTCACTTGGCATCCTTTTCTAAGATCTTATTCATTTTTGACTGTCTCCTTCCATTGTTTTATGTTTTCTTATTATCAATTCAAAATATTTGAATTCTCTGACCTCTCAATATTTCACTTCCCATTTACAACTTGTCTGTTTATTCTTTGATGCAGTATTTACTTTTGACTTTATGCAATTACACAATTAATATTTCAACTGCCACCCATTCTCTAAAAGTATATATACACATTTTGTGCAGTTTATCTAGCACTTTTACCATGATCTTATATGACCATTCTTATTCATGCTTAATGAAATAAATGTAAACAAAGACTGCATGAAAGGCATATACCTATTGATACTACAAAGATAAGATTTTTCACGAAGTTTAAATTCTTACTTTCTGTTTTCTTTGATGACAAAGAATGAGTGCAAATATCCATCATTATATTTTGCTGATGACATAATTCTGTGGCTGCTAGTTCCTCCATTAAGTCGGATATCCAGATGACCTTCCACTAAAGAGACAGAGTAATAGTCTGGGGGATGCTCCTCCCCTGGTTGAAGAGGCTGTTGTACAGTAAAATAAATAATAAATACTGAATCTACATACAATAAATAATAGTATGGTAAAACAACCAACATGCTCCTCATATTTAGATATTTATAAAAGTAAATAAATGAGGTAAGAGACCATAAAAGTATACGTATCTGCAAAAAAAATCATAAAACATTTCCAGTTTCCAAAGTTTACTCTCTTTTAATTAAAATAAGCTATTATTTGCCAAATATGTACTTAAAATGAGTTCATTATTAAAATAATTACAACACATGCAAATGTATATGCACACATATAACTTATACATTACAACTACATGTGTAATATACAGAATTACAGTATCAGCTTTTATCAATAGTACAGTAGGGCCCCACTTTATGGTGTTCCGCTAATATGGACACTTCAAATTATGACTTGACTTTCTAATACTGTCACCGTGCCTCACCCAATTTATTTACATTCTCTGCGAGCACTGCGTCTTTCCATTATGTCTGGAAACTTTCCAAAATTTCAAGCATTTTAAAGTTAATGTGGATTGGGTAATAACACTCACGTTGGATGTTCTAGTACGTATATGGGAAGCACCATGCCTGGCCTGCCTCTCTGCTAACTCTCTCTAAGACTGACTCACGAATTGGGTCCTAGGGGTGAGTGGCGTTCAAATCCTATGGTCAACTGTAACGTCGGTAAATAACAGTGATTCACACAAGGTTGGTAGTGAGTCATACTACTGGTAACTGGTTACTAGGAACAGATACTACTGAGATCCTGGTGTCGCAAAATTCAAAAAAAAAAAAAAAATTATTATGAAATGATAGAGAATCTTTTCCTGATTGTAATGACACCAAAAGAATGAAATTTGATGGAAAACTGACGGAATTACCCTCTTACGAAGTTAGCAACCTCGGCAATATTTACGAATCGGCGATTTTGCCCACTTTGAGCCCTATTTTCGGCTAATTCCATTCTTCCAAACTCATAGCTATTTCATTAGAACTCCATTTTTTCTATCAATTGAATACAAAAAACTGCCCATTTACTGATTTCAACCACCCAATAATGTGGGCAGAAATTGGCAATTTGGCCAATTTCACGAAAATTAAAAAATATGACAATTTCAAAATAGGGTCCAGAATGAACACTGCAGACATTCCTGGCTCTAAAATAACATTTTCTTTGTTCATCAGTCATGTCTCCAGGCCCCTCTGATATTACTCTTGCTTTCTATTTTGAATTTTTATTCAAACAAAAAATAGAAGATTTACTGTTATGCAGGCTACTGCAATATGGTAATAATTGTATAAATAATGTCAACCCATTCATGACTGCATATTAGAATGGCTACTTGGACATTTATCGGAAAATTACATGATTTGTTTACTTTTGAACATCTGGAAAAATGAAACATTTCCCCTACTTTGAGCTCCATTTCAAGGTTCTTTTCATAGTAAAATCAATCAAAATCACCTCTATTTCTATAATATGTTTTCCATTCTATCAAAAGAGACCAAGAAAACGAGAATATAACCATAAATACTATACAAAAATAGACCACAAAGTCGGCATTTTAATTTAAAAAAAAAAGTCGGATTTTTTTTATATTCAAAGTTTATTCTCTATAAGGATTACAATGCTGAGTTTACAGAATTTGGTTGTGTGGTTTACATGTAGTAAAATAATAATTACAGAGTGTACTACTAGAACACCTAGCATGGCTAGGAATTTCGGGCAGACTTAAGATTTAATTTAAGTTTAAAATATTACAAAATTATGAGGTAAGTTGGTATTATGGCTAAGTGACTAAATACTAGTTTGTGAGTTTAGCAATGTGAATGCTTTTGTTTTGGCACTATACATAGTTTCAGTATTGGAGTATCACAGGCCAACTTATGACTAGTTAAGATTCATTATTTTGAGATTGATATTTCTGTTTATGGTCAAATGGGTGAGTGAGTGTAAGTGTTAACCACCAGGTGGTATTCGTGTAATTAGTTGACAGGGTGTATCAGGGAGATAAGATGTTTTCTGATGGTAGTTTTGAAGGTGATGAATGTGTCTGCAGTTTTAGAATTTTCAGGTAGGGTGTTCCAGATTTTAGGGCCTTTGACATACATGTACATTGAATTTTTGTAAAGGTTTAGTCGGACACGGGGAATGTCAGAGATGTTTGTGTCTGGTGTTGTGCCTGTGGGTTCTGTCGCAACTATCAAGAAAGCGTTTTAGGTCAAGGTTAATATTGGAATTTAAGGTCCTGTAGATGTAGATTGCACAGTAGTAAGTGTGGATGTACTGTGGATGTGCACTGTGTGGTGCACACAGACCCATGTGGGCCTACCAGTTTTCTCCTGCTTGATTTGAAGCCCCTAGAATTTATGAGTACTGTATATATGTCAAACACGGTAGCTCTTAAGACGTATATATACGACTGAAACAGTCAAAGGGTTAATAATAATATGCAATAATAATCACTGAGGCGCATTAAATGTCGTATATTACGTTAACAAACATTTTCATTAATCCATCTTTGATATTTTTTTCAAAATTATATAATAACAAACATGTAATAATGTTGGTAGAAATACCTACAATATGTAAAGTAAAAGGACACAAGTGCAACTAATGTGACATTTATTGTGGCAACGTTTTGCTCTCCAGGAGCTTTGTCAAGCCGATACAAACAGTATATGGACACAGAGGGTATATATAAAGGCTCAGAGTGAGGTACCATGTCGATGTTCACAGGTGGTAGTAGTAGTAGTGACAAAAGTTGTAGTAGTAAGACAATAAGGTAGAGCAATTAATTCGTACATGAGTGAAAGGATATAAAAGCTATTACTTGGGTAACATAAAGCAACTTATCGTCACGCACCTTAACTGACTACGAGAAACAAGCACTGAGTCTGGGACTCAAATTTACCACCAATATACGCAAACCTAACTATCAACTCAATTTAGTTACCAGGAACCATAGACACAGTGACAGCAACTTCCAGAAGGGTTATATACAGGGCCTTCTCACTGCTGCTTTATGTGAACCTTCTTCTTCTAATCTTCCTAGACGATACATCACTGCCCTTAAGGACCTCGCCAATGACCCCAACATTATCGTCACCACCGCCGACAAAGGAGGTGGAGTCGTCATACTTAACACCAGTGACTACAACACTAAAATGATGGACCTTTTGAATGATCAGTCTACATACGAACCCATCAGCACTCAACAGTGGGAAACACTCACCAAAGATTTTCTATACAAAACCAGACAAATACTCAAATGCACTAGAGAAGGGAAGAAACTTCTGTACCTGTTACCAAGCAACCCTAAACCAGCACATATGTATGGTTTACCCAAGACCCATAAACACAATATTCCTCTCAGAGCCATCACGTCAGGTATAGGCAGTGCTCCACACAAACTAGCCGGAGTTCTTGCCAAACATCTTTCCTGCCTTCTGGGGACCATCAGCCCCGCTTATCTTAAACACTCAGGCGATCTTCTCAACCGCATCCGCAACCTCTCCATCCGTAACGAGAAACTAAGCAGTTTGAACATGACTCCCCTCTTCACAAAAGTACCTACCACAAAAGCCATCGAGGTTCTACAACGTAAAGTCAATCAGGACCTTAATCTTCCTCTACCTCCCGGAGATTTTGTTGACTTGATTGAACTCTGTGTTTCTTTCAACAACAAGCTCTACAAGCAAACCTACGGCATGGGAATGGGGTCCCCCATCAGTGCCGTCCTAGCCAACTTATACATGGAACACCTAGAGTCCGAACACTTCGCAAACATCATCCCTTCAAGCGTCACTTGGTTACGTTACGTGGACGACGTCCTCGTAATAACTCCCAAACGTTTTGATGTACGGAATTTTCAGGCAAGGCTCAACGCAGTTGAACCGGCGATCCAGTTTACACTAGAAGAAGAGTCCAATAACAAGCTACCTTTCCTCGACATCCTCATTCACAAAGTAGACAACAACCTGAGATTTCAAGTTTATCGGAAATCTACCAATAAAAATGATCTCACACACTTCTATTCCAGTCAAGATACCAAGACCAAAAGAGGCATCATCATCGGGTTTTTACTAAGAGCATACGTATCAAATTTGTAGTCCTGAGTTTCTTGACGAGGAATGTACATACATTCACTAAACCTTCACTGAGTTACATTTTCCTTCCTTTTTCATCAAAGACTGCAAGAAAAGAGCTCTTCAGATCATTAATTCTCCACGCACCAACACCACTCCCAACAAAGTTATAATTCTTCCCAACAGCCAGGTTGCACTGAACGTTTCCAAAGTACTTTCACAAGCTAACACCAGAGTCGCCATCGCTTCTAGCACTTCAATAAAGGATCTAACCAGGACAAAATCAAAGCACCATGAACCAGTCAATGCAGGGGTTTACACTATACCCTGTGGAGGCTGTGACAAGATTTATGTAGGTGAAACAGCAAGAAACCTTGACACCCACCTCAATGAACACATTTACGCATGTAGGAACGATAACCTGAACAACGCCTGTGTACAACACTGAAACTCCACCAATCATCTCATGAAATTCAGGGACGCCCAATTAGTGATCAAAGAAACTAATTTCCGCAGATGCAAGTGCCTCGAATCAGCACTAATCGCTGTTTCGAATACTATTAAACAAAACAACGGCAGCTTCACCATCTCTGAAGTCTTAGCAAGAATCCTCCTGAAAACAGTAAACCCCGCCATCACATAGTCTCTCCTGTTATACTACACAGGGCACATTGCAGAGGGTGAACAATGAAACAGGCCTTCTCTTTCCAGTCTATGTTTGTCCAACCTATTTTTATGTTACCCAAGTAATAGCTTTTATATCCTTTCACTCATGTACAAATTAATTGCTCTACCTTATTGTCTTACTACTACTACTACAACTTTTGTCACTACTACTACTACCACCTGTGAACATCGATATGGTACCTCACTAGTATTGCACCTCACTCTGAGCCTTTATATATACCTTCTGTGTCCATATACTGTTTGTATCGGATTGACAAAGCTCCTGGAGAGCGAAACGTTGCCACAATAAAATGTCACATTAGTTGCACTTGTGTCCTTTTACTTTACAATAATAAACATATATATGTAGAATAATAAACATATATAATAATAAACATAATAAATACACTCCACAGTAGAATAAATTAACATAAATATGAGATGTTACATGCATGAACCAAAACTAGACATGTTTGTCTGCTTGTTTACATAACTTCACGTCTCTCTCCTCTCTCATTTACTCGTTCTCTCTCTCTCTCGTTTAATTTTTACCTTATTTACTCACCTCTCACCCTACATTAAGACTACAAATATTTTAAGGTAAGTAATGAGTGTGTGTGTGTGTGTGTGTATTTAACTTTTTATTGTTTTTTAATGCCAAATTCTATTGCTAATTTAATATATGTTAGTGTAAACTTGTTATCTGGGATTTATACACATTTATAAGTGGAAAAAAATGGCGTTCTGCTTTCCGACAATGTCCGCTTTCCGGGATAGTCCGGTGGCCTGGTGGCTAAAGCTCCCGCTTCACACACGGAGGGCCCGGGTTCGATTCCCGGCGGGTGGAAACATTTCGACACGTTTCCTTACACCTATTGTCCTGTTCACCTAGCAGCAAATAGGTACCTGGGTGTTAGTCGACTGGTGTGGGTCGCATCCTGGGGGACAAGATTAAGGACCCCAATGGAAATAAGTTAGACAGTCCTCGATGACGCACCGACTTTCTTGGGTTATCCTGGGTGGCTAACCCTCCGGGGTTAAAAATCCGAACGAAATCTTACCTTATCTTATCTTAACCTAACCTGCCATTAAAGTGGGGCCCTACTGTATGTAATTTTGAGCTCAAAGCCAAGTAGACAATGAACCCACTTAAAGTTGTGATAAAAAAATAAATTGCCAGTGAATAAACAGAAAAATAGACAAGAGGATCAAAATGAGGTCATGAGTGTGACAGGCCCCACACTATACCATCCTGCCACAGTGGTCTTCTACTGGATTCACTGACTATATGGCTTCGAAAGCTGCAGGTCTCAGGTCCAGTTAACTTTTTTCAGAATCTTCCAAATGAACTGTCATTGGTCAAGAGCAGCCATGACAACTCCCATTTTGTATCAAAGCCAACATCTTTCACTCCCACACCTTTTTTCAACACCTTGGCATTCACTTCCCTTACAGCCCCATCTATAAATATATTAAACAACCATGGTGACATCACATATCCCTGTATAAGTCTTACTTTCCCTGGCAAATAGCATGCTATCCACATAAAATGTGTTTACTAACCTACCACCTATTCCATGAATTTGCAAACTCTGCCATAAATGCAATATTTTCATACATATATGTAATACACAATCAAAAAAAATAACTTTGTATATACAGTGGAGTACTATAATGCATAAAGTTGACAATAATAAGCAAAGCAAATGAAATATTGTTAGAAAATAGTAACTACACAAATGCATAATTATGATTACACTGCACTGAGAATGTTTGTTGAAATAATCTATGAACAGCTACTTAATTCTCCAAAATGTGTGATTCATGCCATACAATATTCTTGCATGAACTAAGTTTAGAGGTTTTTCAAAGCAAATCAGATAAATTAAAGAGTCATTTTTATAGTAATGTAGTATAACAGTTCATAGTAAGAAGGAAAAAGTTATAACTACTGAAAGTGCTGTACTCCTTACTTTTGAGTCATTACTGTGAAGGATTATTGGCAAGACAAACATTTGAAACTTGTTCAAACGAGTAATCTTGCTTTCCTTACCTTCTAATGTATTTACATAAATAATAAAGCATGAAAATTAGTTCTTAAGCAATACATGTATCTGTGTTAGTCTACATAAGGCTTAGCCATCTGATGTTGTAACCAAAGTACTCCCTTCACCATAGCGTACAGTGGGTGTTGTGGTGGTGGTGGTAGTTGTTGTAGTCATGTCTCCCTCTGTTTCACTGTCCTTTAATGGGAATTTTCCATCTATTAGTACATACAGTCAGGATTACTTGTTAGACCTGGGTGTTTGGAAATGACAAAACAAATGAATTAAGCTTTCTCAAAATGAAGCTAAATTCCTCTCTGTATATTGTCGCAAACACTACTTCAGGACTTTGTCCTATGTGTAAACATTTTCACCATCCCGAGGAATTACGTCAACCCAGATTAATTGGTACAGTTTAAAAATCTATAGTAAGCTAAATATGGTAAAACCTCTCATTAACAGATTTTGGTAATTTCAGACAAGAAATTGGCTGGACGAACATTCCACTTATTGGGCAAAATGGAGAGAAGCTCGTAATTCCGCATTTTGTTCATAGCAATAGAATTTGGTTATCTTCAGGCAAATTCTGCTAGTTCTGACATTTGTCTGGAATGGACCAAAGCAGCCATGTCCAGGAAGCAACATCTGGTATGGCCCGAAGCAGCCACACACAAGACCTGTTCATTTTCATTGTTCCCTGAGCCATAGGCTACCCATGCCAGTTTTTGTCCTTGTACATACACTCGTTATTCAGTTTCTAACTTTCCTCTAGATTTAGAGCATTCTGTAACTTTATTAACATATCAAGTAAAGTGCAATTAACAATGACTTCTTATGCAAGTGTTGGTGCCAAGAGAAGATGTGTAGTTCTTAGTGTTAAGGAGAAACTTAAATTAATAAAGAAGGCTGAGTTTGGCATCTTGGTGGCACAGGTATGCATGAAATATATTACAGTGTCTCTTGCATATATATAAACACACCCATCTGGGTTTTCTATTTTCTTAATAGTTCTTGTTCTTCTTTATTTCCTCTTATCTCCATGGGACAGTGGAATTCTTCCTCCGTAAGCCATGCATGTCGTAAGAGGTGACTAAAATGCCAGGAGCAAGGGGATAGTAACCCATTCTCTTGTATAAATTACTAAATTTAGAGAGAAAAAAAAATGTTTTTCTTTTTAGGTCACCCTGACTCGGTGGGATATGGACGGTTCATTACCTGGTCTTTGATATATGTAGAAGCAAGGACAAACTTACAGCCTATGCATGTAAGTTTAGTGTAGATTCTAGCCATAAAAGTTCAGTTGGTCCCAGAAAGCATATGAAAAAGGCCCATGATAAGCCTGAAGCATGCATAAATGGTATGGTCAACAACGTCCTGTTAGTGTCAATGTTTGTGGTGTATATCTTCACTCTGCTGCTCATAGTATTCAATTCAAATCAAAGTTTATTCTCTATAAGGATTACAATGCTGAGTTTACAGAATTTGGTTATTGTGTGGTTTACATGTACTAAAATAACGATTACAGAGTGTACCACTAGAACACCTAGCATGGCTAGGCATTTTGGGCAGACTTAGTTTAATTCTTAATTTTAAAATATTACAAATTATGAGGTAAGTTGGTATTATGGCTAAGTGACTAAATACTAGTTTGTGAGTTTAGCAATGTGAATGCTTTTGTTTTGGCACAGTACATAGTTTCAGTATTGGAGTATCACAGGATTCATTATTTTAAGATTGAGATTAATATTTCTGTTTATGGTCAAATGGGTGAGTGAGTGTAAGTGTGAACCACCAGGTGGTATTCGTGTAGTTAGTTGACGGGGTGTATCAGGGAGATAAGATGTTTTCTAATGGTAGTTTTGAAGGTGATGAATGTGTCTGCAGTTCTAGAGTTCTCAGGTAGGGTGTTCCAGATTTTAGGGCCTTTGACATACATTGAATTTTTGTAAAGGTTTAGTCGGACACGGGGAATGTAGTAGAGATGTTTGTGTCTGGTGTTATGCCTGTGGGTTCTGTCACAACTATCAAGAAAGCATTTTAGGTCAAGGTTGATATTGGAGTTTAAGGTCCTGTAGATGTAGATTGCACAGTAGTAAGTGTGGATGTACTGAACAGGGAGTAAGTTTAGATCTATGAAGAGTGGGGGGGGGGGGGGGTGTTGCCAGGGATGGGATTTAGTGATTATTCTTACTGCAGCTTTTTGTTGGGTTATTATTGGCTTAGGTGTGTTGCTGCAGTTGATCCCCAAGCACAAATAGCATAGGTGAGGTATGGATAAATAAGTGAGTGGTATAGTGTGAGAAGGGCATTTTGCGGCACGTAGTATCGTATCTTGGAGGATCCCAACCGTTTTGGATACTTTTTTGGTTATGTGTTGGATATGGGTGCTGAAATTCAGGTTGTTGTCAAGGTATAGGTCTAGGAATTTGCCCTCATTATGTCTGGTAATTAGAGTGTTGTCGATCTTAATGTTAATTTTTGCAGAGCATATGAACGTAGAATTTCAACCAAGTGATAATTGGCTTTGGCACTTCTATAACTGTCATGGCTGTGGAAAATAAATTCCCATAATTATACTGTATATATTTTTATAATGTAAATATACATGATTAATGCATTACTGTTGTTCTAAATTGTATTTTGAACAGAACAAACCGGGTTCGCCCTGCGCGGATGTGCGGGGAAGAGAGGTTGAGTCAGGGCAGAGAGAGGCGGGAGTGTTTTGAATGTAGTGAGGAGGCTGTGAAAACATGGGACCAGGAAATTGGCATTCATGGCGGCCTAAGGATTAACATAGGCCTCACTTCATAATAGGAAGTGTTGTAACTGTTCCTGGTGAAGAGTGAGGGAACGTGATTTATGGGACCACCGTAAAAGGGTGGTAAAATTAGTGAATAATGGTTCGACCGGGGGTGACTGGTGCGTGGCCATGGTGTGTGTCCAGGGGAAATACCCGTGAGTTAATCCTCACTCATCGGTCTCAGATCTTAACGGAGTGACCTCTAATGTGTATAATAATTATGAGACATTAAATCGTCTTGTGAATTGTAATGTAACCAGTGATAATAACACTAAGTTAAGAGAATATGTGAAGTGAAATGAGTCGCCATTCTCAGAGTGAGCATCTGTTTATCTCGTGTTCCTGTCTCGAGGATAGTGAAGGTTTTATGGAGTTACGACTTCTAAACCGGGATAAACCAACGAATACCTCGTCCTGTTGGAATAAGAACTGTGTCAGTGTAGCAGGACATCGAAATGAGATGGTGAATGGAGGAAATAGGAGTATCAATCGCCCACAGTTAAGTAACCCTTCTAGTTATAGCAGACTGATACTGGCCAGTTAGGTATGTTGTAATTGGATAGGTTATGGGTGATCCAGCTACATCAAGTGACCACCAGAGAATATCTGGTAAGTGGTGGGATTATGTACAAGTGTTTCTCCTTGATGGATATATCCAAGTGTAACCTATCCTCCCCCTTTCATTCAGTTAAACTAATATAATCTATACAGTCCACAATTAATTAGTAGCGCCATACTTGTGGGTGCTATCCAATTTATACTGGTCCCGGATAGATATGGATAAGTCGGACTTGAGTCCTGGAAATGGGAAGTACAATGCCTGCACTTTAAAGGAGGGGTTTGGGATATCGGCAGTTTGGAGGGATATGTTGTGTATCATTATACGTATATGCTTCTAAGCTGTTGTATTCTGAGCACCTCTGCAAAAGCAGTGATAATGTGTGAGTGTGGTGAAAGTGTTGAATGATGATGAAAGTATTTTCTTTTTGGGGATTTTCTTTCTATTTTTGGGTCACCCTGCCTCGGTGGGAGACGACCGACTTGTTGAAAAAAAAAAAAAAAGATTGTGAGGTTGAAGGAACCACCTGCCGTGACCAGGGGTGGTTAAGTTTTCTCACATGTCTACACGGGGTGACTACAGTAAACAATATGGTTGTCTCCCAATTAGATTACTTGTATGCATGTAATGTTGAGGTACATACAGGTAACACCCTACAAAATTTTCCATAATGGCATAAGTAATGTGAAGACTGATGGCGAGGCTGGTAGTGCACCTATGCACAAAGTTAAGCTGTTCAAATTTATGTTAAATATAACAGTGAGAAGCTCCTTATATCTCAACTGTATAAAGCTGATGAGACCGTTCTCATGGCATTTGCTGCCTTCCAATACACTAGCTGATGACAGAACACTAAGCTGTAAGCTCACCAAAGACCCCCTTCTCAATATTATGCTGTGGTAATCCTGATAACTCTTATCATTTAAAACCGAGTCAAAGGCAAATCAGCATGGCCTTGTGCTTGAAAGGACTGCATGAATGACTTGTTAGTAAATTATTATACATGGATATGAAAAGTTGGTATGAGAGGGACACATTTGGTGACTTTTTTTTTTTACACATATTGTCCTTTGACCTCCCAAGGATGTCAAGGCTCTTCTGCTGCTGGATAACATGCATGCTCACCGAAGAAGCAGCACAAATGGTACAATTAAAGTAGTTTCTGTGCCTAATACCACCTCCCTCATCCAACCTATGGATCAGGGGTTATTGCAGCCTAGAAGAGGCTGTGTTAGTCTAGGTACATAGATGAAATACTATAAATGATTCAGGATGAAGATTTGGAAAGAGAAACATGTTGGAGAACATCATGGAAGGAACTGGTTTGAAATTTTTTTATATAACCATACTGGGTTGAACTTTGAGGGGTTTGAGATCAGTGATTTCTATTGTACCTTCAGAAGGCAGGAGAAATAGAAGTTACAGAGGAAGATGTGATGGCATGGTTATCCTGGTTACCAAATGTTGAGTGATGCAGAAACTGCAGAGCAATCTCTCTGCATAGAAGAACAGGGTAGCAATGACGATGACAATGGAGACTGAGAAGCCACCAAAACTGTCAGTTGTATGAGATGCAACTGATGTTCTCATCAAGTATGCTGACCTCTCTAACAAAACTGCAGTGAAGGCCCATTATCCACACTTATAAATTCTTAGAGATTGTATCATGAGGGACCAGCATCACCATGATAAACAAATGAAGTTGGATACATTCTTTAAACCCTGTTCCTCTTTTACCACCTTAACCATATATGTCTTCTCGGCCATCTACTATATCTTAGCCATCTACTGTACATTACTTTCGCTAGTAGAACTTTAAAACTCCTCTGACTCAGAACA